GTGGGCGGAGGGAGAGGGTCAGGGGGGGGAGTGGAGTAGTAGGGAATGGACTCATCGAAGACGACGTCGCTGCTGCGGATGAGGCGATTGGTAAAAGGGTGGAGGAACAGGTAACGTGGGGAGTCGCGATTGTGCCCGAGGTAGACGCACTCCAGGGCACGAGAAGAGAGTTTGCCAGCAGCACGAGAGCGGTCGGCCGGCGGAATGAGGACGACCGCCTTGCAGCCTCAAACACGAAGGCCGGCAGCGTCAGGTTTGGTTTTGGACCAGAGTTCTGTGGGGGAGGAGGAGGGATGCTGAGGGTGGGAGCGGAGATTGAGGAGGAGGGCGGCATGAAGGAGGGCATAGCTCCAGAGGGAAGGAGGGGTGGAGGTGTGAGCAATGAGGCAGCGAGCAATCTTAGTGATCTCACGAATGCGACTCTCAGCGATGCCATTTTGTTGAGGGGAGTGGGGGAGGGTGGAAGTTTGTTGAATGTCGTATGTTTTGCAGTAAGAGGAGAGTGTATGATTGATGAACTCACCCCCACCGTCAGAGTGAAGGCGGCCGATGGGGCGTTTGAAGTGAGTGCGGCACAACTCAGCCCAATTGATGACCGTAGCCGGTATTTGGTCTTTCGTGTGAAGAAAGAAGACGGTGGAGTACCGGCTGTGGTCGTCAACGAGGACGAGCATGTACCGGTGCCCCTGGCGGGAGCGGATGGGATAGGGGCCCTAGAGATCCATGTGAACAAGGTCAATGGGGGCGGCTGCAAAGGTGGGATGGCTGTGATGGGGTGACTGTTTGAGCTTGCCATGAATGCATGAGGGGCATGGGGGAGCAGGGGAGGAGGGGAGGGGAGGTAAGGTGGGAGGAAGGCTGTTAAGGAGGCGAAAGGTGACAGTGGTGCGAAGTGCGGTGAAGTTGGGATGGCCGAGCCGGTGATGCAGAAGTACGGCAGGGTGGGAGAGGGCAGTAGAGGAGGAGGGGCATGGGGTGAGGGAGGAGGCGGGGGGGGGAGAGGAGGATGGTGGGGTAGGGGAGGAGGACACCTGAGGGGGGGGGGGGGGAGGGGGAGGAGGAGTGGGAGGGGGGGGTGGACTGGTGGAAGTACCAGCGCGTGCGGTGACGTGACAGAAAGATGGACAGGGTGTGCGGAGCGTGTAAAGGCGAGTGCGAGGACAAAGAGGAATACGGAGGAGGAAGCGACCAGAGGCTGTGTGGTAAAGATCACAATAGGTAGCAAAGCCCGGGTAAATGGCGGTAATAACAACACCTTGGAGCTCACGGTGGGAGAGGAGGTTGTTGCGGAGGGAAGGGATGTGGAGACCTGTGACTGTACCAGAGGGGAAAGCGGTGCAAGGGAGAGTGGAAAGGTGAGTGCATGGGATGGAAAAGCTGGAGTCGGCTCCATGGACGTGGGTGGGAAGTGGTAGGGGGGTGAGGGTGCTAGCATCTTTCAGTGCAGTCTCGGTGGCCCCGCTATCAAGGACAAAGTCCAAGGTGAGGGAAGAAGGAGGGGGAGGTGATACGGAGTACTGGAAAAGCGTCTCATTAATAGGAGAGGGATACATGGAAGCGACAGAAGGTGCGACGGCAACATGTCCAAGAAAACTGCCCTGGGTGTAAGAGACACTTGGGGGGGCAGAAGGGTAGCCAGAGTATGGCTACGGCTGGAGAAGGGACTGCTGTGGTTGGGGAGGATAAGGGAGGAGGGGGGGACCCATGTACTGCTGCTGCATAGGCGGAAGGCCCTGGAACCCCGGATGCATCTGCTGCTGCTGCTGCTGCTGGTGATGCTGCTGCTGCTGCTGCTGCTGCTGTTGCTGTTGTTGCTGCTGCTGCTGAGAATGAAAATCTGGAAGGGGGGGAAGAAAGGATTGAACCTGGTGCAAGAGGTGGGGAGGCAGGTCACTCGCCAGGGTCTGGTGGAGCTGAGGAGGTGGTGGCTGATAGGCTGGAAGTGTTCGAACGTCATGAACAGTGGGGCGAGGGGTAACAGTGGCCCAGCGAGGGGGGGTTCCTGTGTTGCCCCGAGCAAACCACTCATCACTGAGGGCCTTGAAGCAGGTGTCAGAAGGATGGGTGGTTTGGTTGCAGCGTTGGCCCTTGTTGGGGCCATGTCGAATGACATAGGGGCAAGGAGGGAAACCCCCTGAGCGACCACCGCGACCAGCACCCCCGTCACCTCCCGACGTCCCACCTGTAGCGCCACCGCCAGCCCCTCCACCTCGGCCTCCACCGCCTCCGCTACTCCCCCCACCACGACCCTTGCCACCACGCCCCCCACGTCCTCCGCGTCCCTGTGTGAAGTTGAGGGTGGAGGGGGATTGGCGGGTAAGCTTGGCTTCAGTATCAAGGACCCATGTGGTGACTTCAGCAGCCGTGGCGTGGGGAGAGAGAACAATGTCGTAGGCGATGCGGTGCATTTCGTAAGCCGGGGTGAGTCCCTCAAGGATGCGCCAAATGAGGAGGGGGTCGTCAATGGTGGCCCCACGCTCCCGAAGACGCCGAGCTGTATTGTTGAGGCGACGGGTATAGTCTGCTGCGCCGGTGCAGTTGTCAAGGGTGATAGCATTGAGGTCGCGGTAGAGGGCATGAAGAGATGCCATGTCCCGACGGTCATAGAAGTCACAGAGGGCGCGCCAGAGAGCTGCAGAGGAAGAGGCGTCAAGCTCGCTCTGTAGCGAGGTCGGGATGCACGAGTTGATGAGGCCAATAGCCGGAGTGTCGGCAATGCACCAAGCGGCATGGCGCGTGTTGAAATCTGTCAGCTGGGAGGTGTACGATATCTTATCAGCAATGTACGTTGCATGAAGGGCAGCAGCTGTGGTGTGAGCAGCAAGGGCTGCCTTGTGGGTGTCCACCAGTCGCGTGTGTGTCGCCACCTCCTCCGCGTAGGTGGTGAGGCATGAGGCATTGGTGGTGTTATCAGAGACGAGGCGAGGGAGATCAGGCGGGCAAGATGCTTCGCCAGGATGGGGTGGCGGAGGAGGAGGTTCAAGACCAAGGAGGGGGGGTGGCTGAGGCTCAAGACCATCCGGTTCGGCAAAGACAACGGAGTGGAGGTTGTAACCGCCGATAATGGTGGAGCGGAGGACACCGGTGAGGCTCTGTGAGAAACGGTGCCAATTCAGTGCAGTAGTGCCGACCTGGACTTCCAGACGAACAATGGAGCCAGTATCAATAGGCATGGAGTCAGTCGCCATGAGTGCTGCTGCTGCTGCCGCTGCCTCCTATGCCGCTGCTGCTGCCTTTGCCGCCGCTGCTGCCTAGTTACGCTGCTCCTGCTGTCCAGGCACGCTGCTGCTGCTGTCCAGTCATGCTGCTGCTGCTGTCCAGTCACGCTGCTGCTGTCCAGTCACGCTGCTGCTGCTGTCCAGTCACGCTGCTGCTGCTGTCCAGTCACGCTGCTGCTGCTGTCCAGTCACGCTGCTGCTGCTGTCCAGTCCCGCTGCTGCTGCTGTCCAGTCATGCTGCTGGTGTTCTCCAGTTAGGGTTAAAACGACCCGCGCGACTGGTGGCAGGGACTTCGCGATGGTGAAATTCACCCGTGCGTTTGCTGGCAGGGACTTCGCGATGGTGAAAAACGGCCCGCGCGACTGCTGGCAGGGACTTCGCGACGGTGAAATTGACTCGAGCGACTGCTGGCAGGGACTTCGCGACGGTCGCGACTGCTGGCAGGGACTTCGCGACGGTCGCGACTGCTGGCAGGGACTTCGCGACGGTGAAATTGACCCGCGCGACTGCTGGCAGGGACTTCGCGACGGTGAAATTGACCCGCGCGACTGCTGGCAGGGACTTCGCGACGATGAGGTGGGAGGGCGCACGTCGAGCTGTTTAGGGTAGAGGTATGATAGGTTTACGTTAGGAAATGTTTCTTGGTCGAGTGGGCCTAGGATCTAGGGCGTTTGCCTTAGGCTCTGAATACCATGAAAGAAACTAGGAGCTTGTAGAAACTTGAGGAAGAATTGTTGACATTAGCTCAAGAAAGCACAAGGTTATGCAAGGAAGAGAATGTTGGAAGGGAAACGTGAGTTTGACCATAGGTTGGGTTGACCTCACTTTTGGGAGTGAGGCAACCCTAGGTCAAGTGGGTTGGGTTGGCCACACTTTGTGGAAGTGAGGCAACCATAGGCCCACTTGGGTTGGGTTGGCCTCACTTGTGGGAAGTGAGGCAACCTTAAGCCCAAGTGAGTTGCATGTGGGGGTTCCACCACAATTGGGTGGATTGGCACCCCACAATGCAAGACTACACCCAAAGTTGGGTGTAGTCCCAACCCAACTGTACACCACAATTGGTGTACAGTCACAAGTGTTGGCATGCTACAATATATATTTCTAACACTGTTCATCACACTGTTGGTGGCAAGCGCATTTTCCGGCCCACTGAGTTTTGGGGTACACTTGCCACCAACTCGACGTCAACAGTTGCCCTGCCACCAACATGGAATACGTCCTGAGATCCCATTGAGGCATTGAAACCCAACCCATCTACCGCATTGAAACGCATTCCATCTAGGAAAGCCAACCTGTGAAAATTGACCCCCCAACAAACCTCACACTTCTTACCAGCCACCCAACTGCTAACTCGTCAGTTCCTAACTTCCATTCTCGCTTCCAGCAGAGCCCACTCCTACTACTACTATCTCTGTCTAGCGATAATCTCTAATCCACCTCCCACCCCACCCGAATTTCAGAATCAGGAGAATGATAGGGTAAGGCACGTCTTTGTGAGAATAGAGAGTATTTTTTTCACCCTGCCCGGGTAATTTTTTTCCTGCCCGAAATAGCGTATCCCTGGATTGAGGCCCTTAGCGTATAGCATATAAACGCATGCGTATATACGACACGCGGTGCAGTGGTGCAGTGGTATGTGCAGCATGAGGTGCCGCCATGGCATCTCCCGCCCTAGCTCACCCTGAGCAGCACGGGCTCCTCTCTTAGGCAGAGCAGCCACTGGCTGTGCTTGAGCGATGGTGAGTACGGCGAGGAGAATGAATGCAGTGATTAAGGTACTCTTATCTCACCCGCAGCACCATGAGCTCCTCTCGAAGGCAGCGCAGCCACTGGCTGTGCTTGAGCGCGCAGAACTGCTTCTCCTCCCCCACGCGCCCCCCCGCCTCCGCCAGGTCGCGCCGCTTCACTATCTTGATGTCGCCCCCGCCCAGCACGCGGCTGGCTGGGGGGGGGGAGACGCGGGGGAGGGGAGGCGAGGAGCAGGAGAGGAAGTGAGATGTGCAGATAATGAGTTGAATAGGAGCGGGGAGGAGAGGGGAGGAGAGGGGAGCGGAGAGGAGGAGCAGGGCGAGGGATGTGCAGATGGGTTAGGAGGAATGCTGAGAAGTGGGTTTTAGTGGTTTGGAAGATAGTATGGGTGTAGCTGCGTGAATGAGATGTATGTCCAATGCACAGCATCTTGACTAAAACAGCTCCGACACAATGTGCCATGCCACGCCATGTCGTCCACAGGTGACATTCCTCCCACCCACCAACCATGACGCCTTCTCATCATGCCCATCCCATCCCATCCCATCCCATCCCATCCCATCCCAATCTCACCTTCCTCAATCTCACCTTCCTCAATCTCACCTTCCTCAATCTCACCCTCCTCAATCTCACCTTCCTCAATCTCACCTTCCTCGATCTCACCTTCCTCGATCTCACCTTCCTCGATCTCACCTTCCTCAATCTCACCTTCCTCAATCTCACCTTCCTCAATCTCACCTTCCTCAATCTCACCTTCCTCAATCTCACCTTCCTCAATCTCACCTTCCTCAATCTCACCTTCCTCAATCTCACCTTCCTCAATCTCACCTTCCTCAGTCTCACCTTCCTCGATCTCACCTTCCTCAATCTCACCTTCCTCAATCTCACCTTCCTCAATCTCACCTTCCTCAATCTCACCTTCCTCAATCTCACCTTCCTCAATCTCACCTTCCTCAATCTCACCTTCCTCAGTCTTACCTTCCTCGATCTCACCTTCCTCAATCTCACCTTCCTCAATCTCACCTTCCTCGATCTCACCTTTCTCAACCTCACCTTCCTCAATCTCACCTTCCTCAGTCTTACCTTCCTCAGTCTTACCTTCCTCGATCTCACCTTTCTCTCACCTTCCTCGCGCAGGGCGTGGGCGGCGGGGTCGGAGAGCACAGCGCTCATGAACACACTGCGCGCGCGTGACAAAAAGTCCAGCCGCACCGGCGACGATGCTGCCGCTGCACCTGCTGCTGTCGCTGCAGCTGGCTGTTGTTGCTGCTGTTGCTGCTGCTGCTGCTGCTGCCGCGGCTGCTTGAGAGGCAGCAGCAGCAGCAGCAGCAGCAGCAGCAGCAGCAGCAGCGGTGGGAAGGTCGACATCCACGACCTGCAATTGGATGGCGGGCGAGGGGTGGGAGGGAGAGGGGTGGGAGAGAGAGAGGTGGGAGGGGGAAAAGGGGTTGGAGAGAACAAGAGGACGAGAGAGCGGCGTTTCAGTAGATTGCTACACCTTCGGCTTTCATATCTGGTAGGCGCAGCGCAGGTCAGCTCAGGTACGCGCAGGTCAGCTCAGGTACGCGCAGGTCAGCTCAGGTACGCGCAGGTCAGCTCAGGTACGCGCAGGTCAGCTCAGGTACGCGCAGGTCAGCTTAGGTACGCGCAGGTCAGCTTAGGTACGCGCAGGTCAGCTTAGGTACGCGCAGGCAGCAGCGCCTCGACGCGCCTCACGACCCCCCCAGTTCACTCGCACGCATGCACCCAGCCCAGCCAGCCCACTTGCATGGGTCCCATCCCAATTCATCCCACCGCACCCCACCGCATCCCACCTGCACGGAGCCCACCTGCACGGAGCCCACCTGCAGGGAGCCCACCTGCACGGAGCCAGACGGCTGCATGACGGTTAGCAGCCCGTCCTCTCCGCCCCGCTGCTGCCCCTCGCCCTGCACCCTCGCTCCCCCTCGCATGGCGCCGCTGCTGCCCCCGCACGCACGGCGCGGAGTGGTGGCGAGCGGGATGAGGGCGAATGTTGGATGGAAGGGAAGACGAAGGAGGTGGTGAGGGCGAGAGGAGATGGAGAAGCGGAGGCAGAGAGTCTAGCGGGTCTCCGTGATATTCCAAAATGTGTGAGGTCGGGGTGGTGAGCTTTTTTGGATATGCGACGAACTTTCTTTAAGTTAGGTGCACATAACTTCCCAGCCATCGCGGCTCGGAAAACCTACGAAGCCATTCTTTATGAACGTACAGGATACCGATAGTGTGTGATGTGATTGGTCGTTCAGTCCGAATTTTGAGGCCTGTAAAAACTAGGTTTCTGGCGGGAATTCGAAATTGGTTGTCCCCAGTATTTCGCGAGTGACTTAGGACGGGTCAGGTTGCGTTCGATTTCTGCAAGTTTCCAGCTCAGTTACCGAACTCATTATGATATTAAGAGAAACGTGAAACGAGCCCAGACCCCCTTCAGATTCGAAACATACTGTTCCTTTTTGTAGAGACGACTTCAGGTTTCCCGCAGATACGAATGCCAGATCGAAATTGGTTGAGCCCCCATTTGTAACTCGCAGATCTTCGCCCAAAGGGATCGCAAAGCACTTTGCCTTTCCGCCCACTGTTTGAGTGGCGCGGCTGTTTGCGACACCCTTTGGCGTGACTGGTTACTTCGCTGGCAAATGTGCTGTTTTTGTGCGAGAACTACTGTGGTGGTCCGCTGGGGAAACCCCTGCCCAACTTGACATCTAGTGTGGCTGTACATCTCCCGGTAATATCATGTGAACAGGTATTTCTCATAAAGTACCCAAATGTCTGAGTTCACGTGGGTCCGGCTCTAACCTGGTGGACCAGCTCAAGAACCAGCGCATGAACCAGAGGCGGACCAGGACCAGGATGCAGGGCTTGTAACCCCGTTACAGCGTTGGATGGCACTAAAACGGTGCAATCGAGACTAGTCCGCGCCTGGTCCGTAAACTGTGGGAGATGAAACATTTGTTTGCGAATTGTTACACGTGATTTTTGGAGAATGAGGTCCATTTCAGGCACTTCCAAACAAGCAACTTCCTAACAAGCGACTGCCTTGCGACTGCTCTACGACTGTGAATCTCCAATCACAGAGCTGCTGACTCCAATGTCATTGGCTCAACGACGACCAAACTTGTTAGGAAGTCACTTGTTAGGAAGTCTGAATTGCGTTCTAAGGTACGGAGACGTTTAGACAGACAAAGAGAAAAAGGTAACTCAATTTCAACATGTCAAATTTTCGTCGCTTCTGTTGCAACTCGCACATGCTGTAGAACCCGTGACGCGACTCACCAGGCCATACGATCAACTGGCGATCTTTGGGACGGTTCCTGTAACATTATATTGGAATTACTGACATGTTATTACAACATTCCCGAAGGCTCTCCATTAGCGCACCGCTTCATAATGAAGCAGCGTACCTGTACCGGTACTCCGTTAGCTCATACGGCGTTACCTCATATAGAGCACGCGACAGTCAAAACAGCAACGCAGAGGTCAACAATTGCAGAGAGTCAATGGTCGCGACTTTTGACCACCCAGTAACCGCACGCTGCAACATGGTAACTGTCGATAACGACAATAGGCGCAGTTACTGTGGTAATGCAAAACAGTTAATGTACCCCTCAAAGTATATGGCTAGCTAGTAATTATATAACTTTTTTGTAATGCTGTCTTTATCATCTTGTTTCTATTCAACTTATAATAAACAAGGACTTTACAAGACTCCGTTGTCTTCGTTCACTTGGCTAGCCTTATCCTATCTACAATGATCTTCAGCTGCAGCAATATGGTATCAGAGGAAGGTTGGATTATAAGGCCTGCTAAGTCTTTGTCGTTCACAAAACAAACTCATTACAATTCATACTACAAAAGTCTACATCACCGTGGCTCCTAAAGGAAAGACTACAGCAGACTCTCCGGGCCCACCACCAGCAACGACAAATATGCCGTCAGCAGACTCTCCAGTGACTTCAGTCAATGCTAATGTCGTTGAGTAGCTTATCGCTCGCATCAATGCCCTTAAAGGCCATCAGGCCATGAGCATTGACGGCTGAAGCTACGCCAAAGGAGTTGCTGGACTTTCTCTCTCGAGAAGACCGGCGCGTCAACCATGAGAGGTCTTTCACTTTTGATAGTAGTCACGGTTCAGCTTCTCCACAAGACAAACAGCAACCAGCACAAACATAAGCATTAGCGACATTACGGAAAAGGTTTCTCGCAACATCAAAATTAAAAATATCAACCCTATTTGACGACAAAGATTTCTACACGTGGAGCTTCCAGTTCAAGCTCCTCGGGACAACCGCACAAATTTGGATGCAACGACGCCTTCCGGTTGACCCAGTCGATCTCGGGGTTGAACCTGTTCAGGAAATCTCGCCCCAAGATGAAATCTGAACTCTTGATGTTCGTGATCAGCAACGTCGGCTTCCATCTCAGCGCCCCTATGTGCAGCTGCAGTGATGCTTCGCCGTGGATGGGAAGCTTCGTACCGTCCACCATGGTTGCTGAAAACTGGGTCTCCTCCGCCTTCTCTCGAATCTTCTCCAACGTCCCGCGGTCACACACCGAGTGGGACGCACCGCTGTCCACCAGTGCCTGGAGGCGTCGCCCTTTGCAGAGAACCTCGAGGAGTAGTGGTTGTTGCCGCTCCGAGTAGCCGTAGATGGTATCGCCCATATGATAATAGGGTATGTCGAATATATCATCCCTAGGTCCTGCGCTCGAAGCTGCTGACTCCATATCAGTTTTCAACTGAGTAGGGTTAGAAGGATTTATCCGAGGCCGATTCAGCTTCTCTTGGGCCTGGAACCTTCCCCTAAGCATTTGCAGCTGTGTAGGCTTCACGTGTGGGCAATGGGGAGCCATAACACTATGCTGCCGGGAGAGAATATTAACTCATCGGAACGCACGACCCTCTTCAACGCTCCATAGTGGTTTGCCCAACTTCTCAGGTACCCGAATAATCTCTGAAGGCTTTTTCTTACCCTCCAAATCTCCCCTGAATTTCTCAAAGGCTTGAAAATCAGCAGAAGTAATATTCTTAGTTAAAGTATCTTTGTAGGATAACTTTAACGAATTCTTACTTTCGTGAGTAAAGAGTCTTGTTTCGTGAAGCCTCCATTTGTCTCGGAGATTTTCCCTGTTGCCGGCCGGTTATGACGTTTTATATTCGCGCCATCATTTTCTCCTTTTTTCGCCCGCTCCGAAGTTGCCACGTCGTCGCCCTTTTTATATTTTCGGATCTTTACGCGATCGCCACATCGATCCGCGATTACTGGCGATTCCCTTTTTTTTTTTACTTCGGGGGTGCTGTACTGTTGCCGTCCAGCAGTGTCGCAAGTGCTTTTTTCATTTCGTAGCACGACAGAATTTGATGTCCGGGAGCACCGCAAAATTCGCATCTTGTCGGTTGCCGCTTCGCGTCAAATCTGTCGATAACCATCGGTTCGGCGAATGTGGGGGGTGCCAATTGCTCGGTGCCAAATGTACGGTTCGTCGCGTAGCATCGTGTTTTGGGTTGTCCACGCGTCAACGCGTCGTAACGTTCGGCTGCACGTACGAGGTCGCGGTAGTTACTATAGTTCGCTGCAATGACTTGTCGGCGAATCTCCATTTTTAACCCTTCCATGTACATTTGGATTTTTTTCGCCCTCGGTTAGGTCGATGATGCGGTAAAAAAACTGCTCCATCTGTTGCGTGTACTGTGCTATACTCCCGTACTGTTTATGTCGGTGTATCTGCTGTCGCGCCATGTACGTTGAATTTATCGGTTCGAATCGTTCGATGAGGTCTGCCCGAAACTGCGCCCACATTGTCTCCCCGCGGACCACGTCACTGTAGTAAATCCACTCGAGTGCTGGTCCCCGCAACAGTGTCGCTGCGAGTCGAATTTGTGCTGCGTCATATGTCGGGGTCGAACAGCCAATGGCCTCGAAGTAAATTTCCAAGGTCGCGATTGGATCGAACGCTTCGAGGAGTCTCGGGCGAGCTGCTTCGAGGTTCGGCAAAGGTGGTGCCTTTGGACCGTGAAATGTTGTTATCGCCAGTGCTGCTGTTGTTGCTGCGTTCGCTGCTGTATTAACTGCTGCGATGGCGGCTACCGATTGGTTCGACAGGAGGGCCTCGATTCGTCAGATCGCCGCCTGCGTCTGCTCCATGTCGGTGCGAAGGTTGGCGATGTCGTGGGTGGTAACTCGCGTAATTGTCGCCTTGGCCCTCCATTTGGCGATTTACAGCAAGATTTGCGAAGGAAATAATTGAATACCAGGCGCTGGTCGACTTACTGCGAATCGAATCGACTGTAGAAATGACGAACGCTGATTCCGTAAGTCTTCTTGATCGAAATTCGCGTCCAATCTTGGCCGTTGAGAGAAATTCGATCCGACGCTCCAAATTCCAACCTTTTTTGGGTGAAATTCTCTGAGCCATTGAGATTCGAATCGATCTGACGGTCGAAATTCAATTTTTTTCGCCAAGGAATCTGAGGAGTGTTCGGAAACCGGTTCGAGGGGGGAATTTAAAAATAGCGCGGAACTGGTTTACGTACCCGAAATCGGCGCTCTCGTCGTCGCCCCTGAGGTTTTAAAGTCTAGTTTTAAGTGGTCGAAAAACGTCGCGTGTATACAGGCTCTGCTTACCAAGCTTACCAAGTGTCTTGTAAACTGAACGTTGGCCTTAGAACCCTCTTTGGTTGAAATCTCTTCCCTCTCCACATAGCGTTGCATCTTGCCAACCACACTTGATGTGACGCTGTGGCGATCAGCGCAGCTTCCAGAAACCCCGAACACGTACATGGTTCTTGAAACAGTAGATCGCCAACTGTCCCTCCTTGACGGTCAGGATTTATTAGCTGTAGTGCTCATTGTACCACATCCATCACCGGCTTCACCCTCGGGCAGTCGAGAATTCAGTGATCCAGTGTTTTCATTCCTTCACAGAGAATACAGTTCGCCCTTGCAACCAGGAAAGGTAGGCATTCCCCCACTTGCATATTCTTACTGTGTTCCCGCAGGATCACTCCCCTTGTCCGGGCCGGCATCACCAGTGAATCCCTCGTCTCAATTGCCCTCTTCCAATCAATGGGCTTCCCCCAGTCTTCCTCCCACTGCAGCTGTTGTTTCGGCTTCGTGAGTTGGGGTTTCAGCATCTTCCTCAGAACACGCAACTCGGCAGGCTCCCCCTCTTCACATAGCTTTGACTGCAGCAACCTCGTCCTTGGCGTGCCCAGCGGGCCTCTCATGACGCCTCTCATTTCTACCATTGGTGTTGCCGTCACCCAGTTCACCTCCGTCGCGCTTGCGTAGCGGATTTCCTTGATAGCTCCTTCTGCATCCACCGTCACCCTTTTGCCGTACAGTACCCCGTTGGCCGTGTACAAGAATCAGTAGTAAAGAAACTCGCCTGGTCGGTATGAGTTGGTTCTGACTAGCTTCGTCACTTCGAACACTTCCTCCGCGGTAAGAGGCCTTAAGACCAGCTCCTTCCAGATTGATGGTGTTGCTTCAAAGCCTTTCATCGCCCACTTCCTCTGCTCTTCTCCGCCAAGCTCCCTTTCCAGTGTCCCCTCCTCTTTGACCCTTCTGCTACCGTCAGCTCTTTTTTCAACCATGTCCCCGAGTGTGATACTCCATAAGCAACTCGACCTCTTCTGCCTTCCAAAAGGGGACTTCCCCCTGAAAAAAAATTCCCTGTTAAACAGCAAATGTTCCCCCTCCGCTTCCCATCGGTTTGATGTTTCCTTGATCACCTCCTTTTGTGTCTCCCAAAGAGCTTCCACCGTTGCCTTCCATCTCACTCCCCCTTTTAGCCAGTGATGCATGATAGCAGGGTGAGCGTAAATCGTCGCAAACCCTTGCGGGAATCCTGCCACCTTCTCCCAAAGCCAGTTCCGAAAAGGTTCCGTCGCCGTCACGCCTCTCCCAATGTTGTGTATCGCGATGCTTCCTAGTCTCTCCTTCGGGCTAATTACCCCTAGGCCCCCTTCCTTCCGCCCTCTGCAGGAAAGTTGATAATTCCACAGAATGAAGTATCTGTCGAAGGATGCTCTCCCTTTCGAGATGAAATTGTGGCAGATCCTCTTCACTTTCAGCCATATCTCGTGCAGAGGTGCGCACATCAGCGCCTGGAACAGCAGTATCGGCATCGCGTAACTGTTTACAATTGTTACCCTCGCCGAGGTCGTCAGATGCTTTTCATCCCATTTACTCAGCTCCCCGCACATCCGCTCCAACACCTTGTACCAGGACGGCTCTGGCGATCCATTTGGCGTAATCCAGATGCCAAATAGCCGCTCTGGTTCATTCCGTGCCACCCATTTGAAAGGTGAGTCTGTGGGCTACTGCCTCCTCCTGTTTTTCACCAGCGGTAACAGCTTCGTTTATTCCTGATTGATGTACAAGCCCGATACCCTTCCGAAATCGTCTAACATCTTCTTGGCACTTTCCACCTGCTCTTTGCCGTTCAGCGCCAGTGTGGTATCATCCGCGTATCCCACATACGTTAAGCCTCCAATCCCTCTCTTTTTGATGCCCAGATTCCTTCTCCTCGCCTCCTAACACAGAGGTTCCGCAAAGAGGAAGAGATATAGGGCTAACGGGCACCTCTGCCGGACCCCTTTCTCCATGTCTATTCTATCACCCATCCATCCATTTACTAACATCCGTGTGCCTGCTCCTTCATGAAGTCCCCTCGTCCAGGTAATGAACTCTACAGGGAAGCTGTCAGAGGTCCACTGGTGATCCCCGATTGATCCTAGGGAAGGGTTACAGGCACGGCGGCCTGGGGGGTTATGGGCGCACTCACCCGCTACACAAATAAGCCCTTTTATCCCAGTGGTTAGTGGCTGGGATTCTGACATGGTATCAGAGCGAAGGTCTCGGGTTCGAATCCCGGTGTGTGCACCTCGGGCATCCCAGTGCGGGGGGGTGTCAGAGGTCCACTGGTGATCCCCGATTGATCCTAGGGAAGGGTTACAGGCACGGCGGCCTGGGGGGTTATGGGCGCACTCACCCGCTACACAAATAAGCCCTTTTATCCCAGTGGTTAGTGGCTGGGATTCTGACAGAAGCCCATCTTGTGCATCGTGGTGAAAAGGAACTCTCGCGAGACTGAGTCGTACGCTTTTTTTAAGTCTACAAGGAGCAGTAGCCAATCCTCGTCCCCTTCTGCTGCTGCATCAACCACATCTGCCACGATTGAGACCACATCCGCCAGCCGCCTACCCGGTATAAACCCGAACTGATGCTCTGAGATTACCCTTGGTAGTACTTTCTTGATCCTGTTGGCCAGCACCTTCGCTATAAGCTTATACACCACGCTGAGTAAAGTGATCAGTCGATAATTTCCTAATTGCTCCCTCTCCCCTTTTTTGTGCAGAAGGATGGTCACCGCCGTCGTGAACGCTTCTGGCATTACTGCATCTTTTTCGAAGTCGCCGATAAGTTTCATCAGCTCCTTCCCCAGCAGCTCCCAGTTCTGCTCAAATAGCTCTTTCGGCAGCCCGTCCTGCCCCGGCGCCTTGCCTGCTGGCAGCTCACGCAACACCGTCTTCACTTCCTCCTCCGACCAAGGTTTTGTAAGTGCCGCTCTGTTGCCTTCCAGTAGGCGCTTGCCCTCCTCTACCTCCCAGCTTTCATCAGTACCCGTGTGTGATTGTTGGAAGACTGAGTAGGTCTCTCGGAACAACGTGGTCGCCACAGCCAGGACCTCTTTCACACCATCTATCCTCTGGCCGCTGCGTACTACTTCTTTGATCTCTCTGTTTTCTCTTTCCTTGACTTTATCAGGCCTGATAGGTAGCCAGTCGGTGCCTCGCTCGCCAGCTCCGCCGACATCCCCGTCATCACTTGCAACCTGACTTTTGTGTTCTCCTGGTATCGTTTCAGCGCTGCCTCATGTTTTACCAGCTCCTCATATAGTCCCGGACCTGTCGGGTTCATCATCAGGAGCCTCCTGAGTCTCACCACCTTGCCCTCCAGATGCAAGATCGTTGCCTTCACCCGCTTTCTCTCCTCCGTCGTACGTGCTCTCAGGCTCGCCTTCAGGATTAACAAGAGATTGTCAAAAAATTGGTCCGGGCTCGCCAAATGTTCCCTCGCTACTGCCTCAATAATCTTCTTTGTTCCCTTTTCTCTTGCTTGCGTCATCTGCAACCGCCAGAGTCCGGGTCCCCCTCCGCCAGGTACCGCCGCCTGTACTAAGGCCTGTATTGCAAACCAGTGGTCTGTGACGCCAATAGGGACCATTTTATGCTTAGCTTCTGTCGCATGACCAATCAGTGTTCCTGATACCAGGATCCTGTCTATTCTCGTACTAACCTTCGCCGACCGTGAGAAAAAAATAATCTCCTTCCGTGTTGGGTGTAGTGTTCTGAAAATGTCTTACAGGTTCCAGCTGCTGCAGATCTGTAGAAGGCGCTGGTTCTCTGCAGAGGATCCCAGCCTGGAAGATTTATCCAAGTACGGATCTCCGACGAAATTCAGGTCTCCCATGAGGATGGTAAGAGTTGCATTTGGTAGGATGTGTACAAACGACGCCAACACATCCCAAAACTCCCCCCCGACACGTGGACTGCGCCGGAAAGTAGGCGGCGACAACCTTGTACTCGTGCTGCTGCCATGTGAAAGTAACACTAAGAAGTCTCCCCGATTCGTGACTGACCACATCTTTAAAGCGGATCACCGGTGTGAACCCCAAAATAGCCACCCCACTTGCTCTCTGATCTGGTGAACCTGCTGCTACCGCATCCGGTTGACTCCAGAAATTATGGTCTGCCAGAATCCTTGTGTCTGTTAGAACTACGATACTAGCTGCCCTTCTGATCCAATATCCACATCTCTCTCTCTCTCTCTCTCTCTCTCTCTCTCTCTCTCTCTCTCTCTCTCTCTCTCTCTCTCTCTCTCTCTCTCTCTCTCTCTCTCTCTCTCTCTCTCTCAAGTGGTCCTTGTATTAGCAACCAGAAGAGTATAGACATGCATGGAAAAATAAGGCACCTGGAACATGTGTCGTAGGTACTAACCCCGCCCCTTCATTCCCCTCTGCCTACCGCTCCACCTAAGGGAGCTCCAGTGCCGGCTCCAGGATTGCAAAGCAATCCCCGAGGGACATGCCCTCTCCCGGCATCCCCACAGGTGGGTTTTCCACCTGTTCCGCGAAGTTGCATTTCGTCATGAAGCTCACCGACTGAGCACGCTGCAGCGCCACGGACCAACGCTGAGGGAGCTGATGCAGCAGCTTCGTGGCCTGGTAAGAGGAAGGGGGGGCATTGAAATGCCCGCGGGCAGCGGTGTCAGCAAGGAGTTTGAGGAATGCGGGGACTTCCGCGCACGGGCATCCATAAGTCTCGACGGCCAGGGGGAAAAATCCAACCCATGAGGCCGTCGAACCGTCATAGTCAGATATCTTCTTGTCTGCCGCTTCGCGTGCCGCCCAGCCCCTCCCTTTGATCGCATTGGGGTCACGGGTGCTAATGGGGTCCGTGATTGTCACGTTCCCTATCCAAACGGCTCCGGACGAGCGGTCCCGTATGGCGATGTCGGCTTTCTTCCTGGTGACTGGGCAGAACGCTGTTGTTTCGCTGTGGGTCATGAAGCCCGCGTCTTCCGCCATGCATACGCACTCATCACGCAGTTCGTTGTGAGTATTTGTCCGCCCCCCTCCTGTGTCGCAGCGGAGCAGGTGGTTGGGCAGCCTCCTGTCAGCGATTTTGACTTCCTTGCGGCAGTCACAGGCGCCTGGGGCTGAGGAAGGCAAGCCCATTCGAAACTGCAACGCGTGGGCAAAGTGGGCCGGGGCTGTCAAGGTGAGGGCTGTCTTAGCGGCGAGGCGTAAGAGGCTTTCGCCAATCGCAATCGGCCGCGTACCTCCGTCTGGCTTGGTGAGTGCTATTAGGCGAGAAGCGGTAAGGAGATCAGCTACTGCTGGCGGTAGTTTCCCTATAAGTATGGTGTTGACGAGTGCATGCAGATGTTTCCCCACCGAGGCGTTGACCAGCGATGAATCCCGTAAGTGCTCAAACGTTGTTCCAGAGGGGCCCGCCCCAACTGCCATCTCACAGCGCCCCAACACCTTGGAGAAGATCTCGAGGGGTGCGGACAGGTGTGGGTCAGGTGCCGGGAATGTCCAGTCAGGTTGAGAGGCTGGTGAAGGAGGATGCTTGGAGCGCAGTGCCTCCAACACTATGGGGGACGGAGTGCAGACAGGTGTGGCCTCGAGAGCCATTACCGTCCGTCGCAGGCTACCGCGTCTTGCGAGCCCCTCGGCACGTGCGATGATGCCTATGTCATCTGGTTGGTGTCTAGGTGGCTGGGGCCACGACAGGGAGTCCACGGTGTCCTTGTACAGCTTATCCCATTCTCCCGACAGGAATTGGGTAAGTCGCGATGTGACTGTGTGCCAGTCAGGTTGCCTTGGCGAGGGTTGGCGAAGTGTAAGGCGTGCGAGGAAAAGGAGTACCACCCATGCAGAATGTGAGTCAGGATCCTTCGCCAGGCGCAGTAGTGGTACCAGCATGGCAGTGGCAAAGAGCTTTCGTTGATCGCGGGGGAGGTGGCGGGAAAGGGAGGCGTGGCGACTGTCGCGCAGTTTCGTCAGGTCCCAAGTCTCGACCACTGCGAATAGGGCGTCGTCCTTCGCGAGGGTTTCGGGAGATTTTTCCTCGGGGGGTTGGGTTGGAGAGTGGTTACCGTCAGGTACAGTTGGATCGGCAATTCGCGTGGGCGTCGAAGTGTGGGGAATTGTGGGTGGGGTTGGGGGCGTGGCGACATTGCCCAACGCGGCGCGGGTTGGTGTTGGAGGTTCCCTCCTTGCCGATCTCACACCTGCGGAGCCACCTGCAGTATGGGAAAGTGTTGTTCTTCCTGCTCGAGCTGGATTCTGCTGCTGCACGTCGTCGACAGACTCAGAGCTGGAGGTCGAGTTTGTGGACTCGGCTGGTACAAATTCGGTGTCTGATGTGCTGCTGTCAGTGTCTCCCATTATATACGTTAAAGCCCGCCTCCCCGCCTGCTGGTAGACGTTCTCAGGCCCGCCACCGCGAGCTCTCCCTCCGCCGCCTGCTGCTCTCCTCCCTCCCCGTCCTGCTGGGCACACGGCTGGGCGCTGTCCGTCAACGTTGGGCGAGGCGCTCACCCGCCACCCCGATGGATCCGTCCGCCGCTCCAGTCCGCGAGTGTACCGCGGAGAGCGAACCTGCTCCCCGCCCGCTTCCTCCTCCGCGTCCCGCTGCGAGCGTCCCTGTTGTTCCGTTGTCCGCGGCGGATCAGATACGCCGCCGTTTCGAAGATCAGCGGCGCGAGCTGGCGCGGGACTCGCCACGTAAGGATCAGACGCGCGAGGCACCCGGTGTGCGCTCCTACGAGGAGGCCGTGGCGCACCGGGGGCGCTCGCCTCGGCGACGTTCGTCGGTGACGCGCGAGGATGGGAGGGCAGGCCACCGCGAGGATCGCCGTGGAGAGTCTCGGTCGCCACGTCCGCCGCGGTCGCCCCGCTTGCCTCGTTCGCACCGCCGCGTGGCGTCGCGCAGCCAGTCCCGAGATCGCCGGACGCGTCGTCTCCAGTCCCCCGTTCGCCAATCGGCACGTCATTGTTCGCCTGATCGCTGCGCCTCTCGTCACCGTTCCCCGTCCGCACGTTCGCCGCGGCTGTCAAAGCGTCAGCGGCTCTACTCTCCTCGTCGCACGCCGCGATCTCCTGGCCGCCAGCGCCAGCGCGTCCCGTCGCGCCAGCCATCACCCGTGCGCTCGAATGCAAGTGGTCAAGGACGACCTGGGCGGCCGGGAGGCAATGCTCGCGGCGGGGCAGTGCGTCGTGCGCCGTCCGCAATGGATCGTCTTTTCCAGAGACTGGACGGCGTGGAGAAGGCGCTCCACCGTGTGAATGCGGAGTCATCGTCTCAAACTGCGCCTCCAGCTGCTCCCGTCACTCCCCTCGCCGCTCTCCTGCCGCACAACCCAGAGGGGTCCCTTGTGCGTCCTGGCCGCCCACTGCCTGCAGGGGCGTGTTTCCAGGGCGCGGGTGGTGGGGATCCCTGGGGCCCGTTTGTTCCACCGCGCCCTGCCCTCCCTCCCCGTGATCACGCCGTGACGTCTCGCCGAGCTCGCTCCACTGCAGCCCTTCCACCGACGAAAGAAGTGCCCACGGCGACCCTGGCGCGGTTGTGGTCGCTGGCGGAGAGTCTGCAGAGTCTTGAACAGATTCTCCTGGAGTCGCATGGCTCCATGTCGGTGACCCCACCGAGCACGTTCTCTCAGATTCCGCGAGCAAAGTGTCACGCGGCGGCGTCAACACTATTCGCGTACGTGTCGCCACTACAGGTTGCGCCCTCGCCGGGAGTAGTCTCGGCCACCCAGCTGGCTGAGAAGGCCCTGGATCTGAAGACGCTTGTAGCAGCTCGCGGAACTCCTGTTGACGTTGTCGGCGCCACCGCGTCAGTGGTCCGCTTGATGTGGTTGACCACGCGCGAAATGCTAGGTGAGCTTGAGGCGGACCGCATGTAGGCGCGACCCTCTTGCGCGTGTAGACCCGTTCCATGTGATTGTGCCTAGATGCACTTGCTTGCCATTGTTGGTGTCGATGCCTTGCTAGTTGGCCACGGTTGTGATGGTCTTGTCGCCTCTCACGCGCGGCCGAAGGCCGCGCACGCGAGCGCCGGAAGAATGCTTTGAAAAACCAAGCAAATAATGAGTTAGAACAGAGGCCGAGAGGCCATTATATAGGGGTGGGATGGAGGAAGAGGCGAGGTGAAAGAGGCTAGGTAAGACGCTCTCTCTCTCTCTCTCTCTCTCTCTCTCTCTCTCTCTCTCTCTCTCTCTCTCTCTCTCTCTCTCTCGCTCTCTCGAGCGAAAGGGAAGAATGCTTTGAAAAACCAAGCAAATAATGAGTTAGAACAGAGGCCGAGAGGCCATTATATAGGGGTGGGATGGAGGAAGAGGCTAGGTGAAAGAGGCTAGGTAAGACGCTCTCTCTCTCTCTCTCTCTCTCTCTCTCTCTCTCTCTCTCTCTCTCTCTCTCTCTCTCTCTCTCTCGCTCTCTCGAGCGAAAGGGAAGAATGCTTTGAAAAACCAAGCAAATAATGAGTTAGAACAGAGGCCGAGAGGCCATTATATAGGGGTGGGACTGATAGAAGAGGCTAGGTGAAAGAGGCTAGGTAAGACGCTCTCTCTCTCTCTCTCTCTCTCTCTCTCTCTCTCTCTCTCTCTCTCTCTCTCTCTCTCTCTCTCGCTCTCTCGAGCGAAAGGGAAGAATGCTTTGAAAAACCAAGCAAATAATGAGTTAGAACAGAGGCCGAGAGGCCATTATGTAGGGGTGGGATGGAGGAAGAGGCTAGGTGAAAGAGGCTAGGTAAGACGCTCTCTCTCTCTCTCTCTCTCTCTCTCTCTCTCTCTCTCTCTCTCTCTCTCTCTCTCTCTCTCTCTCTCTCTCTCTCTCTCTCTCTCTCTTGCCGTTGCTACCAAGCCCGTTGATGTTGAGCTCGAGGAAGGTGAGTTTGTGGTTTTTATCCATTGCTTAACCTACTTGAGCCCCTCAGCATCCACGGGCGTAAAGACTTCATTGATGTGATGTAGACTGCAACAGCAAAAGACCACAACACGGCCAGCACTCCTCCTACAAGGGTAACTCCTCCTACTATGACTCCAACCTTTCCGATGCTGTATGCATCTTTCCTCATGCCGTTGTACCTTATTTCTCCGGTTTTTTTCCTAAATCCTTCTTGAAATAGCTCGGCCTTTGAGAGCCTTTTGCTGCACGTGTTGCAGAACCTGGCGTGCGGAAACCCCCCCCTGTGACGGGCCGAGGCGATGTGAGCTGAGGCCTGTTCGAAACGGGTTCCTTGAGCCTTCTCGCAAGTCGCCTGAACGCAGATCCACTCCTCTCTCACCCCTCCCGTGGAGACCAGAACTAGAGCCGGATCCTTCAGGATGTGTTTCAGCAGATCTGAAACTTTCAGTGAGGCCGCTGCGAGAAGGTTCACAGATGGTGAGGTCAGTAAGATCGTCAGCAAGAATAAAAACAGGACGCAAATCTGAGGTGAGAGTAAATCTCCCTGTACCGTTGAATTAGTGAGTCTTAGCTACCGTAAGGTTCCAGCGGCTCATGTTGTTATAGCGTGGGGTAACATAGTCATCATGATATCTCGTCAGATGTTGTCCCCCGCAGTAATCACAACTGACACTCGGGAAATGAATGAGAAATTACCTTCCTCGCAGAGACTTAAACTCCACAGCGTGCAACCACCGGTACTCATCAGCAACATGGGAGATCACCAGACCTTTGATGCGGTCAGTGTCCATTTTGGAGATGGGGTCAATCGTCCGGTGCCAAAACCACTTGCAAAGGCGCTCTTACCCCTCTTCAGCATTACTGCCTCAACCAGCGTACGACGGACCATCTCCGGTGATATCTCAGCAGGTACCACCTTCAGCACCACTTCAAAGGCCTTTGGATTCGCTGAGCGCTCCCTGAGAAACTGAGCATTCTTTGGGAACTGCCAGATAAGCTTCACAGGAAACTGCTAAGTAAGCTTCACAAACTTGTCGTCAGCACATTCATGGTCAATGACTTGCTCACGCACGAACTCCGCATCACGAGTATTGTTAAAAGTGACTTGCAGCCTTCCGAACTTCTGGCGAGAAAAGAAAGTCGGCAAAAGGTTCTGGTAAGTTGTAGTCTGCAGCACATAAGGTGACAGATGCTCTTTGCAATCATCCAACAGCGCAACAATGGTGGCCTTAGCACGTGAGACTTCCACGATCCTGTTAACAGGCACCAGCAGAGTTAATGAAACCTTCGTCTGAGAAGCAATATCAGCGGCGACAACCGGGTCAAACATCTCGTCCGAGTCATCACTGAGGTAACCGTCTCCCTCTACTTCCAGGTCCAGTTCCTCTGCTGCAATTTTTCCGTCAGAATCATCAATCACCTCATTGTTGACCGGTTTGTCAATGCCATAAGTGTTAGCCGCGACATTTGCGTTAACCTCTTCACCTCCTTTCCCTTCCCTCATGACTTGCCATCTTCAGCAGGAACCACCAGCTGCTTCGGCGACTGATCCAGAGATGACCCTGAAAGCATCGCGTCAGATAGTTACTGCGACACATCATCCTTCAGCGGAGAGTGCGAGGGAGTGGTATTAACATTGTCGCCATCCTGACCAGAAATCTTTGTCGCCTTCGTCGCGTTAGTTCTTGGTACCCTCGGCATGGTGCTATGATGAAGACCACTGAGCAGCCTGATGATGGCTGATACCAAAAGTGGTCTGAGCACAATCGTAGCCTTCTTTTTATGGTGATCGCCCTTGCAGCCGATCCCCTTGTGCACAGTGGCTTTGTATGACGCGTTAGTCCTTGTGTTTGAATTAGCCTTGAGACTTCACGAAAGTCTTGGTGACTCCTCATCGCTTCGCGGTGATATCCCTGGAGCCCTTGGGATGGTAGAAACCTTGGTATAAGCTCCTTGCTTGATACATCTCGAAGTAGGTCCTGATGCCTGGGACTGAATAATGTCGTACCAATGCCCCCGTTTTGGACATTGTAAGTAGACCATGTTGTACAGACTTTAATCCTGCATCTTATCCTTACTTCAATGTTAGGATCGTGCAAGAAATTGCTAGGCATTTGCCATCCAGAAGCTCCTAGGAGACGCCATGGCTGAACATTGTCATAACTCGGTAGTGGGGGGACGACGATCTGCTTACCAAGTGTGAGGATCTAGGATCGAGATCAAAAAAGAGGGTTTTAATTCAATGATCCACCTGGGTACAGCTCGAGGCTCATATAGTCTCGACAGAAGGCGGGTAACCCAGGTGTTACATGAATGTTCTGAGGGTCGCGAAGCATCCCGAACAGAACCTTCCCGAACTCGGTAGAAAGCAATTCGGTGGCAACCGAAAAGGCTTGAGTTCGGTACACGTAACCTGGTTCGGTGCTAAAACTATCATAACATATAGGAATGCACCTAACCTAGGGAATCAAGCAGACCTATGCATGATTAAAAAAACCTAAGCTAGTAATAGCATAATGAAGTCCAGGCAAGCTAGCAAAGCCAGCATAAGCCGTCGTACTTACACACTCGCGCTGAAGACGACTCCGACAAAAGCAAATACTTGGTCGCATCCTGAAGAAACGGATCTCGAACGTCACGGACCAGACAGCCTCTGCCACACCCTCGTGGTTCCGACCGCCTCAACCCCAACTTTCGGCAATACTGGACCTGCATCAATGGAGGAGGAAGCAGACAATGGTGCGTAAGAGGCAACTGCAACACAAAGAAATGCCGAAGGAACTGGTGCTAATGGCTGGGGATAGGGAACATGGTGACCTCCTCCCGGAGCTCCAACACTTCCTCCCGAACACGTGGCGGAAGCAAATCCGTACTGGGCAATAGGCGGCACCGACTGGGGCGGGCCTCCTCTTCCGGATCAATATCCCTACAAGCTAACACAAGAACAAGAAGAAGAGTTAGAAGGGACGATTTATGACTTCAGAGAAGCTGAATCCTACTTGAACCTAACGAGGAGCCGCCACCGCCAGAAAAAGGGCCATGGCTGATCTCACTCATCGACGATGAATATCTCTACCACCGAAACTAATTTCGGCTTTTGCAAGCCTTTATCAGTACAAGCCTGACTAAAATACTCTACGCTCAAGCTAAGCTAACCAGGAGGACGATGGGAATGAAGAGGCGAATATGAGGAGTAAAAGCTTTGTCGCGTGAGTGGTTCGCTTCAACAGGTCGCAACCTCGATTGTATCAAACTTCAGCGTAAGCGAGATGATAACTTCCATTCTAACAAAAATCTACAGGTACTAGAAAAAAGATAGCCACGTGATAAAAGTGTAGTTCTGAGACGTCTCAAAACTACACTTTATCACGTGTCTATCTTTTTTATACCTCTCAAAACTACACTTTTATCACGTGGTGAGTCGGATGGCTGATGGTGGAGCACCATGGCAACTGCAAGGGGTGATCGCTCTTGCTTCCCTCTCTTCCCCCTTCATTCTTCTAATCGTCAGCTTTCCCGCCCCTTTGCTCTTTCATGAGTCTCTCCCCCTAATTCTTACGTGGTATTTGGGTTGCTATGTGCTAGAACTGAATGTTGGTGAGAAACGATGAAGCTAACGACCCTTTGGTTTTCAAACCCCCTTTCCCTACTACCGTAATACCCCCGGATAAAGACTCGGGGGTATTATAAGTATCCCACCCCAAAAATGAGGGGGGTCTTAACAGTTTGCATATGTTAGTAAGACCCGAGTCTTATCATATGGTCAAGTATATTACTTCTGTTTTGGAAGCCAAACATGTTAATAGTATGTGCTCCGTTTGTAGCATTAAAAAAAATGTGGAATGAACTCCACCCGTCGAGGGTGGGTGCCTTCTCCCATTGGTCCCAAAACGTGGTTACCACAACACAATCTAGCGGGACCCAGCGCACCGATGCCTTGGGACTGGCTGTTACCCCTCCTAAAGAAAATTTTATGGAATTTGTTGTGAAAAGCGGT